GGGAGATAAAATGAGAACTGTTAGCTTTGGTATTTACATGGAAACAACAAAAATAAGTTAACAGCAATACTTCCTCTACCAATGTATCTGATAAATTTATTTGAAAAAAAGGGTGGCAAGTTCAAGGCAGCCTTGGATTCAGACTGGAATTTCAGTGGGGAAAACAGTGTCTTAGAATGAAGGACTGGGCTAGGAGCCAGGACATCTGACTTGGTTGGCTCTATCCCCTGATGCTTAACAGGGAAAAACACTTAGTGTCAGTTTCTACATTTAAAAATTAAGAAATTTAGTCGATGATCTTCTGACCTAATTCTAGAAATGTGGTCCATGGCCATACCACCCTGAACTCGCCGGATCTCGTCTAATTCTAGAAATATTTCCCCTTCAATTTAAAAAGCTTCTCTCTCACATTTTAGAATGAAGAAACTCTCAAGTTAAAAAAAAGAGATCATCAGTTTTACATTCAATGGTCTGTACAGTTTCAATTCAATCCACTGCAATCCCTTCAACGTACCATCACATCCCACTGCTTCCCTGTGTTGCTCGTTTCCACTCCTCCTCCTTTCCAATCCCTCTGTACTTTGCCTTTGGGCAAATGCTGCCCGTATCTTAAATGTTTAGTACTGGGGTGAGTCCAGTTCAAGATCTTACCACCGGTGATTGACTAAGGGACAGTCTTTAGGGTCCTGCATGTCTTTATTATGAGCTTGATTTCTGTGATAACGCCCCACCAGCTCTATCCAAGACCTTCTTTTAAAGTGTTTTTTCAGAGCAGTAGGCTACGGTAGCTAGGCATCTCAGGGACATGGAGGGGCAGATGTATGAGTGGTCCATTAGTCTTTAAACTTTTATCATACTTCTTCCCTTCAGATGGGGAAAGAGCAATAGTTGCACCTTGGATGGCTGCTCAGAAGCTTTAAAACACCAGTCGCTTCTCACCAAAGTAGGATGTAGAATATTCCTTTGAGAACTATGTTATACCAGTTGATGTTGGTGTCCTCTGAGACTATGGTCCTTATCCTCCAGCGACTCATTCCCTCAAGATGCTTGGCTATAAGTCTCTTAACTTTGCCGCTTGTATGACCTACCACACTCACGATACAAATATCCTGTTAAATTCATATATATTCATGGGTATATATCCCCACCATCTCTCTTGCAAACCTCCCAATGTCTTTGCCCAAATGAACACTTACTTATCTTGAAGTGACTTTCCGTCCCTTCTCCCCTCACCAATAACCATCAAAGAAAGAGTGCTGCTTTGGTGTGAAAACTTTTTTTTTTACTTTTTATAATAGTGGTTTCATACAACCCCTTTTGATAGTGACCAGTTTCACTCAGTATATTGTCAAGATTCATCCATATTCTTTATTTATTTATTTATTTTGGATTCATCCATATTCTGAGGTGATTTGCCAATTTGTTATTCTTTAATGTTAGGTAGTATTCCATTGTATGTACATACCAAGGTTTATTTATCCATTCTTCTCATGATAGGCATTTAAGTTGTTTCCCTCTTTTTGTTATTGTGAACAGTGCTGCATTGAACATGGGTGTGCTCATAATTTTGTGTGGAGGGTCTTATTTCTCTAGGACATATAACAAGCAGAGGAATTGTTGGGCTATATGGTATTTTTATTCCCAACTTTCTGGAGGTACTTCTTTTCCATGGGGAATTAAGGACAGTGTTAAATGAAAACAATGCCTTAGACATTTAAAATAACACTGAGCATAAGCTGGAACAGAAATTTAAAATTTATTGAGAGCAATGGGCTTTTGTATGGAGTCCTGGTGGCAAGACATGTTATGGGTTGAGTTACTAATTGCAAGGTCTATAGTTCAAACCTACCAGCTGTTCCGTGGGAGAAAGATGATGTATTGTTTCCACAAAGACAGCTTTGGAAACCCCATGGAGTTCTGCTTTGTCTTAAAAGGTCACTATGAGTAAGGATCAACTCCATGGTAGTGGATGTGGTTTTTGGCTTATGTGCTTTTCTGGAGTCTGGATAAACTGTATAAAGTGGAACTCAGAAAGTCACCAACCTTATGAATTTTTATTGCTAAGGAAAATCAATAAGAAAATTACCTGTCGGGAGTAGTACAATGAAGTAAGAAACAAGACAGAGTGACGAGGGTGTTTGGAAGGAATGACAGAGGAGACGCTGGTGTGGGTAAGGATTTCTGAACAAGTGACTTGGGCCTAACATCTGAAGACTGAGAATAAGCCAGTCATTGGAAATGCCAGCAAATTTTACTTTATTTCCTCAATGCTTAATATTTTAGCTCATTAATGCTACACCTAAAGTACTTTCTAGAAGCAGAATATACAAAGAAGAAACTGATTCTGCCCTGAATTTATAGTCCTTTTTGGGCTATAATTAAATACTACAAGAAAGCAATTCTTAATTTTATGAACCTTTACAAAGAAACTTTATCTAGTTGGAGTTGTCTGAGTTAGATCTTGAAAAAGTTTTGGGGCATGGAAAGTGGCAGGGAAGGGAGGGAAATTTACAAATGACGTAGAAGTAAAAAGGGCTGAAAGATGAGGGTGTGAAAAGAACTAAAAGGGGCCAAGCTGAGCTGGACTTTATGTCAATGGGAGTAAGAAAACAGACAAGCAAAAAGGAAGAACAGTTAGGGGGCTCTTTCCAGAGTGTATCTGAGACATGAAGAAAGAGAAGACTCGATGCACAGAGAAGAAAGCAGATGAAAAGAACAAGACCATGCAGGTAGAAATGATGGGATTAGTCAACTGACTGTGTTGATTTGTGTGAGAAAGTGAGGTCCTGAGGTGAAAAGAAGCTAGAATTTGAGTCATTCTTTACCAAAAGTTGGGAATAAAGGAAGCAAGCGTAGAGAGGAAGGCTATAACCTGTTTGTGACTCTGAAGTACTATTTGGGTAGATACCAAGGTAAAAAAGTCAGCAGGCAATTGGAAATAACTGGAATGACAAAGAGGTAAGAATTAGAACAATTTTGGGCAGATCCAAAAGTGGGTGATTTAATTATTATAGTCCAGGTCTCCAAGATATTTAAAGAAAGAAGCAGACTAAAGATGAAATGCATGATATTATTTTAGAAAAGTACAAGTTTGAAAGGTAAGAAAATCACCAAGTACTAGTATTAGAGAAGTTAAACACATAAAATTAAAAATATAGTCATGGTAATAATACTGGTGAGAGGGAGAGAATTCATAAGAGCTGAGTTAGAGCCCCTGCTATATGAGTTTTAATAAGCTTCAGAAGGGTAGTGATGACCAAAAAATACCCACCCACCCCCAAAGAAAATCCAGACAGCAGATTACAAGGATAATCGGGTGGTCTATCACCACCACCACCACCCCTCACCCCCAGTACAAAAGATGCCTTAGTGGTACTGCCAAGTAAATGTTGGACTGATAATCCTCAAATCCATGGTTCATACCCACCAGTCACTCTGCAGGAGAAAGATGTGTCTGGCTGCTCTCATAAAAAAATGTTTGTTGTTTTGCTCTGTCTTGTTTTGTGCTTATTATTGTCTCTGCATATCTATCTAGATAAGACAGGCAGGATCCTGGGGAGAAAACAACAGGACTGGTGGTTCCAGGGGAACACAGGAGAGAGGGAGGCAGGGGAAAGGAAGGGGAGTGACGGAGCAAGGTGCCAGAAGCAGTGGGGAGAGAGTATAACTGTATGAACACACAGAACCTACAGAGGAACGACAGTATGAGCGAGCCCAAACTGCCAATTTGAAATGCTGTCAAATAAAGATCTCAGAATTCCTCAGGGAAAAGTTAGAGAGATGAAAATACGATCTTCAGTGGCTTTACATTTGGACATTTTCGTTCCATAAAGGGTTCCATGATTTTGTAGCAGTATTTTTTGATTCACCATCATATGATGGATATTTTGCAATGGATAACGATGATGATCGTACAACATGACTGATGGGCTTTGTCCCATCATTATTGATAGCACCAAACTGTGTGTCATGGGGTTGCTATGAGTGGACACAACAAACTGTACATGTGAAAAATTGTAAATTAGGAAATGTGTTCTGTATATTTTTACAACAATTTAAAAATAGGCACGGAATTAAAAAATAGGTAGGGATTATAGACTTGGGAACAAAAATGGTTTTTAGTAAAATGGCAACATGTGTTCAAGATGGAAAATAATTGAGATACCTAACATCAGTGTGTGTGTGTGTGGGGGGGCAATCCTCAGATGACTAAAATAAAACATTTCATTATACACCACCACAACCACAGATTTGCACAGTGGTGGCCCACTTATGGGCTTGGTTCAATTTACTAGATGTTTTCCTTCAATAGCAAAATAGTTCATTTGGATTTAAAAGAGGATTGCAGACAACCATAGAGAGAAGTTGGTCACTGATCCTAATTTGCATCCCTTTAGCTGACACTAACAGAGATTGCTGCAGTTTGGTAAAACCATTCACAAGTGAACATTTTACAAACCGTGATTAAAACATGTTGCTTGCGAAATAACCCACAAAGAACTGTCTAGAAAAGGCAAAGAACAGATAACTCTAGAACAGATAATTCTAAGTAGCCCCCTTTTGCTTTGTTTTATACGGATGGGCAGGCCCTGGTGATATAGTGGGTTACCTATTCGATTTGTAATCTTCCAGGTCTGCGGTTTGAAACCATCAGCAGCTGCGCTGGGTAAAAGTAGAGGCTTTCTACACAGGCTCAGAAACCCACAGGGCAGTTCTACCCTGACCTATAGGGTCGCCACAAGTCAGAATTGACTCGATGGCAGTGTTTAAGAGTTTTGAGCTTTCCTTCAGAGCGGTAAATAGAAGTCTTAGTAAAAGATGGAAATTGCCTAGCTGAAAAAAGACGTTTGAAGTTATATGGCCTTTCAAAAAAGGTTAGTACCACATCTGACACGAGTCTCTTGCCATAAGCTGAATGCGGGTTTGTTTTTTTACCCCCATAACCTGAACGTGTTTAAGGTCACGGTGAAAGAACACTGCAAATGGCTACATCAGAGTAAAGCCTAGGTTTAATAGTCAATTAAATCCGACTGGCGGTGTTCCTTGCAGGTGCGAGGTAGCGGGCCGGGAAGGAATCTCTGTTGGGGCACTTTCGCGTTTGGGCCTGGGCTGCCGTCCAGTTCTTCAGAAGCAGGGTGACTTTCACCACCCCGGGACCCGCGGAGGTGGTGGGGGACAAGACACAGAAGTAGGGTACACGGGTTGTCATGCGATGTTGTACCTTGGTTGTAGTGAATGTCAACTCGGAACACTTAGAACTGTGTTTAAAAAACAACAAAAAACAGCCCCTGCCCGGGACTCACTCTACAAGCTCCTTCCGAAGAGGCGCCCGCCCGGGAGGAGATGGGCTACTCACTGTCGATGTCTTCGATGAGGCTGGCGGTGCCGGGCATATAGTTCATTTTGACCTGAGACCAAGCTGCAAGGTATAGCGGCAACGGGCCAGGGAGGCCAACACCTCCTCTTCCTCCTACCGCAGTCGCCGCCTCGGCGGGACCGGGGCCGGGCCGGGAACCCGTCTAGGGACCACACGTCTGCCCCGGCTCTCAGCCGCCGGGGCCTTCCGGAAACTGCTCCGTGTTATCCCGCCCACTTCCGGCGTCACGTGACCATCAGGAAGAGGCGGGACCTTAGTGTGGCACGGAACACGCTTTCCCCATCCACGACGAAGAGTCGTGGAGTCCAGACTGAATAAAAGGTGGACAAGTGTCTTCTCCCTTTTAAGGGACGCAGTGCTGCCCCTCGCCTTTCTGCCCCCAGGATTGCATAATCGTAAATAGCTCTCTCAATTTAGCCTTGGCAGCAGGAGGGGCGGGACCGAGCCTGCGATTGGCTGTTGTCGTCCTACCCCCTTCGCCGCTGTCCATTCACTTTCGCGGGCAGGAGCCTGCGCAATGGGCCAGTCGTGGGGGGCGGGAAGCGCTTGCGGGCCGCGGAGCCCATGTCGGCCCTGAGGCGCTCGGGCTACGGCCCTAGTGACGGTCCGCCTTATGGCCGCTACTACGGGCCCGGGGGTGGAGATGTGCCCGTGCACCCACCGCCACCTTTATATCCTCCTCGTTCGGAACCTCCCCAGCCTCCCATTTCCTGGAGGGTGCGCGGGGGCGGCCCGGCTGAGACCACCTGGCAGGGAGAAGGCGGAGGAGGCGATGGTTACTATCCCTCTGGTGGCGCCTGGCCGGAGCCGGGTCGAAGTGGAGGAAGCCACCAGGTAAGCCCTGCGCTCTCCGTCCTTGGGGATCCGTTAGGAGGGTCTTTGCGGGTGAGGGCAGTTCAGGTTGCTCTACCTCCAGGGTCGGTGTGTTACTTCTTTTCCTTTGGGGACACTGAAGAGACTGAGACGGGGGCTACGAGTGGGGAGCTGTGTCGGTGTGGTGTTTGCCCCTCCCCGGCTGCTTCGACCGCAGTCAGTGCGCCTATCACCATTAAAAGGGAAGGAAGATCTTGCGCTGCCTGTAAACCGGGGGGCCGGGCTCTGCTTAGACAATTTCTCCTGCGTGGCTCGGGCGCCGGGCCGCGGCAGGAGGGGAGGTGGCTGCAGCCCCCGCCGGCGCTCGGCGCCCCGCGCCCCAGCCGTTTGCTCTGGATTGAATTGGCAGTCTGCAGCAGGAACGTTGTTTCGCGTCTTCACGGCGACTGTCAGGCGTGTCCTTAGAGCAGCTCTGTTTAACGAGTCAGGGTCAGGTCAACTCGCTCGCTTCCGGTAATGTACTCCGTATTCCTGCTGGAAATGCACGTCTGTTTTGTGAGTGCACTGTTCCCAGTAGGGGGCCCTTGTTCAACTGTCATGGCACACTTCTCTTTTTCTTCAAGCAATGATAGCCCTCCCAGCTGATGAAAATGTAAGCGTGAAATCCTCCTATTTGCTGGTGGGAATATAAAATGGCGCAGTCTCTTTGGAAAAGTTTGGCAGTTCCTCAAAAAGTTAAACAGCATGCCACACTACCCAGCAAGTCCATTCCAACATTCCAAGTTGTGCACCCCACAGAAATGAAAACATATGCCCATCCAAGAACTCGTACAGGAGTGTTCAGAGCATTGTTATTTCTAATAGCCAAAAGTGTAAATAACAGAATTGTTAATCAACTGCTCAATGGATCAACAATCCGATACGGACCTACGATGGAATCTTATCCATAAAGAGGAATGAAGACAGGTATGGATGGACCTTAAAACTATTATAAGTGCGTGAAGCCTGTCACATACAGTGTGATTCCTTTTATGTGAAATGACCTGAAGTTGCCACTCCTGAGGAGACAGAATGATTACTGTTTCCAGATTGGAAGGAGGGGTGGTGTAGTGATGAACTGCTAATGGGTACTTTTGGGAGGTGGAGGGAATGAAAATGTTCTAAGGTTAGATAATGGTGACAGTTGCACAAGTCTGACTATATACACTGAGTTGTACTCATTTAAAGCTGGATTTTATGGTATCTGAATTATATTTCAATGAAAAAATTCATGAGAAAAAAACCCCTGTAGCAAGAGGTTAATTTAGAAGGAAAGTCCCCATTTCTCTTTCTAAATCTGGATCAGTAGGCCTTTAATCCCATTGCAGAGTGATGAAATGCTTGACTAAAAACCAGAACAAGATCATTTGAAGGTAAAGAGAGGAACATTGAACAAAGGACTTTTTATTGGGCTTGCTTGTTGTATTATGTAAAAGTATGTATTTTCTGGTTGGGGGATTAGAAAAGGGTTGAATAGGCAGGGAAGTTAGGATTTTAGCATTTGTTATGAGGTTGGTTAGATTATCTGCATGGGAGGTAGGACCTGGTGCTAGAATAATTGGAGATAGGCTGGAAACATGTTATAAATATTTATAAACCATTTAAAAAGTTTGGTCTTTATCTTGCTGATTGATAATGCTGAAACTTTCAAAATACAGGAGACTAATGTGTTGTAGATCAGTGGGGTACAGAAGATACTGATACTGTCACAGATGTTATGAATGTTTTTCCCCAATTGCTGTTTGCTTTTAACTTTATTGTTTTTTGACACATATTTTATATTTTTGGCACATAATTTATGTTTTTATATAGTGAAAACCATGAAAAGTGGAAGTCCACCAGGCTGCCTTGTTTCTTTGGGTCTTCCTGAATTTACCTTTGGTAATAGGGTACATTCTTACCGTTTTTCGCTCACTTGTTTTAGTAGAAAATATTTTTGAATTTTCTTTTCAGACAGGTTTTCACCAGAAACAGTTTCTGACTTTCCCCAGTTTTACTGTGTTATCTGATTGCTTATCAATTATCTTGTTATCTAACATTTTGCACTTATGGCAGTATCAAAAGATCTGATGCATTAATGATACACGAGGGCTCCCCGCCCCGGAAAGAAAAACACTGCTGATGTGAGGGGAATAGTGCATTTGGAGTTCATTTCACCAGGTCAGCCTGTAGTGACCTGCAGTTTGAAATCACCATCTGTTCCTCAAGAGAAAGATGAGGCTTTCTACTGTAAAGATGTATGGTCTTGGAAACCCACCAGGGCCATTCTACACTGTCTTATAGGGTTGCTTTGAGTATGAGTTGTGCTAACCCAGAGACTTTTAAAATGGTGTTAGTAAGTCTTTTCCAACTCATGGTGACACTGTTGTCTTCATTCTTTGAGTTGTAGTTTTTTCTCTCCCACCTTCCCTTCCCTCCCTCACACTTGATAATTTATAAATTATTTGTCATATCTTACACTGTCCGGTGTCTCCCTTCACCCACTTTTCTGTTGTCTGTCCCCCAGGGAGGAGGTTATATGTAGATCCCTGTAATCGGTTCCCCCT